CCCTGACAGCGCCGCCTGTCCTGTTTGCACTACCAGCCCTCCCTAGGCCAGTCGTTCCCAGAGCTCTGGGCCGGACCCCTCACAGTCTCCAAGGGAGAAGGACCTGATATCTGCCCCTGACACCCCAGCACCCCTTCAGATGCAAATGCCTTCTCCTCATCCTCTACTGGGGATGCAGTGTGCACGGGGACCTCCAGGAATTGCACTGATCTTCCAGAAAACCACAGCATTGCACCAATTCCTCTATTCCCTTTTTAGCCCTCAGAAGGTATCCCTTAGAAAACTCTTTGGAAAAGACAGAGAGCAACTTCTTTTTCACATGGCAGACAGTGGTAGGCCAAGGGAGAACTGTATTTAACTAAAAGAGGTTTAGATCAGATGTCAGCAAGAAATTCTTTACTGTGACAATAGTGAGCCACCAGAACAGGTTGCCCAGAGAACTTGTGGATGCCCCATCCCTGGAAGTGTTAAATGCCAGGTTGAATGCAACACTGAGCAACCTAATCTGATGAGTGCCGTCCTTGCCCATGGCAGGGGATTAAAACTCGATGAACTTTAAGATCCCTTCCAACCCAAACCATTCTATGATTCCATGAACCCTCCAGGTGAAGTTCAATACTCTTCCTAGCAATGCACTCAATACATTACAATCAATACCTTCTTGGCAGCTGCCTGTCCTCCAGCATTAAAACTGCCACAGCAGTGAGCATCAAACTTCAGTGCTCTGCACACCCCTCCCAGTGCCAGTGCTGCCTGTCTGGGAAGGTCCTGCCTACAGCTTTTTTGGTTCCACCACGGAAAGCTCACTCACTTGTTTCTGCTCACAATACATGGAAGTCCCAGAGCACCCAGGGAGTAAACCCAGGCATCTGTCTGCAAGCTGCTCATTTACAGCTCACGAGGGAAATGCTGCTAGAAGGTTGCAACTGACTTTGCAAGGCTTCTCCCCTTCACAGCTTTTTGTGACAGTCACCGATGAAGTGCTGCCATTGGGGGTACCAAAGCCAAGAGGGACAGACGCTGGATGCGAGGGTTTCAGCAAGGCCCCGGTGCTGGGCTTAGATTAGACTGCACGGTTACACAGCTGACGACACCAGGACAAACACATGCTTTGCCTGTGGGATCCTCGGGCCCTGGCGTTGGAACAAGGCACGGCCTCTTCCCTCCTGGTGTTTCATAGCTCCCAGCTATGTTTGCTTTACACTTTGGCGCCGAAGAAACAGCAGATGGCACGGCTTCTCCTCGCTCCGCCGTGCTGCTCGCAGCACCCGCGGCGGCTGTATCGGTGCCGCCTCGCACCCCGCAAATATCGTGTGTCATTGCCATCACATGCGGAGTGTGAGCTTGCAGCAAGTGA